TGGGAGACTGAGGCAGGAGACTCACTTGAGCCCAGGAGTTGGAGGTTGCTGTGAGCTGTGATGCCACAGCACTCTACCCAGGGGAAAAGCTTGAGGCTCTGTCTCAAAAAAAAAAAAACAAACAAAAAAACCCCAAACACCTAGAACTCTGTGTACCCTCCACACTTCCATCCTACACCTAGTTCACCCTTGGCCCTAAAAGCCTCCTGCCCCAGTCAGGCAGCAGCTCCTCGGTTCCCATAGCATTCTGGAGCTGGCCCTTACCACAGCATAGAGTAAAATACCCTCTAAGGTCTGAGGCTCCATTTGATCTTCACCCTACCCCCTTAAATAAAGCAACATCCTGGAAATGACTGCCAAAAAGATTCTGCAGGGTCAACCAAAGGCCCTTCTTCTAGTTTTGGGTTTCTAGGTAGGAGAACAAAAACCTCCAGCAAAGGAAACACCTTGAATCCCCAACAAGCATTCTTTGAACCCCTGTAAGAAAACGACTTCAGGCTCAGTGCCCATAGCCCAGTGATTACAGTGCCAGCCACATACACTGAGGCTGGCAGGTTCGAACCCAGCTCAGGCCAGCCAAACGACAATGACAACTGCAACAAAAAATAGCTAGGCATGTGGCGGGTGTCTATAGTCCCACCCACTTGAGAGCTGAGGCAAGAGAATTGCTTAAGCCCAACAGTTTGAGGTTGCTGTGAGCTGTGACACCACAGCACTCTATCGAGGGCAACATAGTCAGACTGTCTCAAAAAAAAAAAAAAAAAAAAAAAAAACCCAACCAAACAAACAAAACAAAAAAAACTACTTCAGATTTCCTCAGAGAATGTACAACTATTCCAAAAGCATCCCAGAGCTCTCCAACTCCCTTGAGAAGTGTTCACACGGAACAGCCAGACTTCTGACCCCTAAGCCCAGAGGTGGGAGCAACTCACTTGTTGCACATCAGCAGCACTTCTAGCTCCTTGACGTTGTGGACGAGGAACTTCCGGAAACCACTGGGCAGCATATGCTTTGTTTTCTTGTTGCTCCCGTAACCAATGTTGGGCATCAAGATCTGGCCCTTGAATCTTCTCCGAACCCTGTTGTCAATACCTCTAGGTTTCCGCCAGTTACGCTGAAAGAAATAACACACAGCTGGGTTAGTGCCTATGCAGATTGCCAACTCTTCCTTCTGGGGAGGGAAAAAGAGAAGCAAACACAAAGGAAATATGCCAAATAGTAGTTGTCTCTGGGTAACAGAACTTCACTATTGTTTTTTGGAGACAGAGTCTCACTCTGTTGCCCTAGAGTTAGAGTGCAGTTGCATTGTCATAGCTCACTGCAACCTCAAACTTGTGGTCTCCAGTAATCTTCCTGCTTCAGCCTCCCGAATACCAGGGACTACAGGTATGTGACATGACACACAGTTGACCTTATTTAGGCATGGGGTCTTGCATGTCCACTATTTTATATGCTTTTTTGATGGGAAAAAAAGGAAACAGTAACTGCAGGCTTTAGCCACCAGGAGCATAGACACACACTCTGAAGCAACTGAAGAGTAAGATACTGGTGGGATATGACATCGAAAAGCATGGGTTAAACATTGCTCAGGACCTGAGTTTCCTCATCTATAAAAGGATAATCTATCTCCCCTAAGGCCACCTGAAAAACACAATAGAAATACCAACCCCTGGCTCGGCACCTATAGCTCAACCAGCTAAGGCGCCAGCCACGTACACCTAAGGTGGCGGGTTCAAATCCCCAGCCCAGACCCGCCAAACAACAATGACGGCTGCAACCAAAAAATAGCCGGGCGTTGTGGCGGGCACCTGTGGTCCCAGCTACTAGGGAGGCTGAGGCAGGAGACTCGCTTGAGCCCAGGAGTTGGAGGCTGCTGTGAGCTGTAATGCCACGGCACTCTACCCAGGGGGACAGCTTGAGGCTCTGTCTCAAAAAAAAAAAAAAATACCAACCCCTCTAAACACATTAAAAAAGCAAGGATGTCTTTCATTTAAATGTCTTTAAGGCTGGGTGTGGTGGCTCACACCTGTAATCCTAGTACTCTTGGAGGCCAACATGGGTGGATCCTTTAAGCTCAGGAGTTTAAGACCAGCCTGAGCAAGGGTTGAGATCCAGTCTCTAAAAGCTGCATGGTAGTGCGCGCCTGTTGTCTCAGCTACTGGGAGGCTAAGGCAAGAGGATTCCCTTCAGCCCTACAGTTTAAGGTTGCTGTGAGGTATGATGATGCTACAGCAGTCTAACATAGGGCAAGAGAGTAAGACTCGGTCTTTTAAAAATAAATAAATAAATAAATAAATAGAAAGCAGTGAGGTACCAGTAATGCGCCTGGTACCTCAGGCACATGAGCCTCAAAGCACATTCAGGCTTTCTACAGAGACCTCTTCCACCAACCACAAACCAGTTCATCTGCCAAAGATAATCCTCCAACAAGGTGATGTCAGAAACATGACAGCCTGTTAGGAATGCCTTTCTTTACCCCAACATCCATTCTCATCCCAAGACCATATACCTTAATTTTGACATATCGGTCTGACTGGTGCCGGATAAACTTCTTGGTCCTCTTTTTGACGATCTTCGGCTTCACAAGGGGTCTGAGGGCGGCCATGATGCCTTTAAGAAAGCAGCAGACCCAGTTAAAGAAAAACCCTGGAAGGTGGCTTTCCTGGCCAGAGCTGGAACACTTGTTGCAGAGTGTCTTCCAATCACCAGCTACAGAACAAGCTGGGAATGGAATGGGTACCTCTGCTAGGCTTGCTTTTCCTCCTGCTTCCGAAGCTGGCAGAACACTAGGGGCTCTCCAGATGCGATCCCAGGAGGTCAGGGGTCACCTCTCAGAGCCCAAGAAAGAATGCCCACAGGTGACCTAAAACAAACCCACCCCAAGACCTTCTCAGCAAATCCCACCCCACGGAGTGTCAACACCCAGACAGTCCATTTAGTTACACAGACCTCGGCCAATACACTTGAACCCGAGTCAGTTTTCCCGCCTGTAAAATGAAGTTGACACTGCATGCTGAAAGCTTGCACAGTGACAGTCAGGAAGCATTTATTAAAGAAAAACTTAATAGTTCCCCTAGGTTGCTGCTCTGCAATACCCCCCCAAACACAATACACGCAAATTATGATATACTTATAACTGCCCCCCGGAACCACGATCTCTTCGAGGGCAAGGGAGCCGTTTTCATCTTCATAGTCCCAGAGATCCTAACTCACTGCCAGAATTTCTGTTAACTAACAAAACTGGCCCCGTAACTCTTTTTTTTTTTTTTTTTTTGACGGTTCCGCAGCAGCAGTCTGAGGGCCAGGAACTAAAGAAGGAGCGTCGGGATAAGGCAATGAAATACTCGTGGGCACGACACCTCTGCTCGTTCCACGACGCAGGGTATCCCTGCAGTCTGGCCCCAGCTAGCACCCCGCGCCGCCAGAGATCAAACAAACCGCCCGCAGCTCTGACTAACCTGACCCCACGCGGCCTGTGCAGGAGAGCAAGCGCCCTTGGAAGGTAAAGCCAGATCACCGCCCGGGCCACTTTGCTATTCCTGTACACGCGCCAGCAAGCCGACAACGACAAAGCCCATATAGGTAACCTCGCGAAAGGGGAGGCTTCTTCAGCAGGGGTGTAAAGAGGCCCAACGGACACCGCACAAACGCGGATGGTCAACGATTAAGACTCACCGAATAACAGATGGCAGCCACCTCCGTAGGCAGCGCCGAGGAAGAGAGGGGAAGGTGGCACGCAAAGGCTGATGGGAAGTAACCTCTAAGGTCCTGGCAGGGAAAAGAGGATTTCCATCTCCAGGTCCTTCAAAGAAAATAAAGACAAGCAAGAGAGATAATGCTGCAAAAACACTGAATATACCTGTGTCTTTTTCGACATTAATATCTAAGAATAAGTCTGGAATTTTATCTTACTCGCCTTTGGGTCTACATAGGAATTTGGATCTCTCTTGGCTAAGACCTGGGGGGGGGGCGGTCAGGGAGGCTACTTCCGCCAGAAATTGAAGCCGAATCCAGCTTTTGAACGATTTCCGTCCGCGTTTCTTCTGCTGGAAGTGCGCCTCTTAGTGGCCAGGAGGAAACAAAACATAGACTTCCTAATGGGAATTTATACAGTAAATAGTGATGAGACGTAACAGCTAACGTTCAACGGGATTTACTAGGTTTACCACAATTCTGTAAGAAAGTTCTATTTTTCTCTACATTTTACATATGTGTAAAGTGAATTCTGGAGATTTGACTCCACTCTCCACACTTCAAACCTTGAATCTAAACTGGTTTTTAAAACAGTTGTTCTTAAACTAGGCGCGGTGACTCATGCCTGTAATCCCAGCTCTTGGCGGGCCCAGGCTGGTGGATTGCTTGAGCTCACGAGTTCCAGACCGGCCTGAGCCAGAGTGAGACCTTGTCTCTAAAAATAGCCGGCGCCTGTGGCTCAAGCAGCTAAGGCGCCAGCCACATACACCTGAGCTGGTTGGGTTCGAATCCAGCCTGGGCCTGCGAAACAACAATGACGGCTGCAACCAAAAAATAGCCCAGCATTGTGGCAGGTGCCTATACTCCAGCTACTAGGGAGGAGGAGGCAGGAGAATCACTTGAGCCCAGAAGTTGGAGGTTGCTGTGAGTTGTGATGCCACAGCACTCTACCCAGGGTGACAGCTTGAGGCTCTGTCTCAAAATAAATAAATAAAATAGCCGAGTGTTGTGGCAGGCTACTTGGGAGGCTGCGGCAAGAGAATCACTTACACCCAAGAGTTTGAGGTTGCTTTGAGCTATGACATTACAGTACTCTACAGAGTGTGATGTAGTGAGACTCTGTCTCCAAAAAAAATAGCTGTTCTTGATCTGTTTTGCTTAACTTTTGTTTTTAAGGTTAAGGTGAAAATCATAAGGGAACAATGGCTCATGCCTGTAATTATAGCACTCTAGGAGGCTAAGGCTGTTAGATTGCTTGAGCTCAGGAGTTAGAGACCAGCCTGAGCAAGAATGAGACCCGACGTCTACTAAAAATAGAAAAACCAGCTGGGTATTATGGCAGACACCTGTCCTCCTAGCTACACAGGAGGCTGAGGCAAGAGGATCGCTTGAACTCAAGAGTTTGAGGTTGCTGTGAACTATGATGACATGGCACTCTACAGAGGGTGACAAAGCGAGACTCTGTCTCACACACACACAAAAAGATTAAGGTGAAAATCAAATTTCAGGCTCGGCACCTGTTCCTCAGTGGTAGGGGTGTCAGCCACATACACCGGGCTGGTGGGTTCGAATCCAGCCTGGGCCTACTAAAACAACAATAACTGTAAAAACAACAACAACAAATAGCTAGGTGTTGTGGTGGGCACCTGTAGTCCCAGCTACTTGGGAGGCTGAAGCAAGAGAATCGCTTAAGTCCAAGAGTTGGAGGTTGCTGTGAGCTGTGATGCCACAGCACTCTACTGAGGGTGACATAATGAGGCTATGTCTCAAAGAAAGAAAGAAAGAAAGAAAATCAACTTTCAATATAAATAAAAACCCCTTGATTCCACAAGTGGAACACAATACAAATGTCACTGGTGATCTTGACAGTAGTTCCGGGGGACAGAAGATGGGGACAAAAGCTAAACTGGATTATGTTGGTTACTGAATGAGAGGTGAGAAGGGTATGTTGACAACTCCATCGTGAGATTATGGTGGTGAAAGGAGGTTGGAGGAGACTAGAAGTGTCTTGTCTGAGGTCACACTGTTGGCAAGTGGCAAAGTTGGGAGTAGAACCTGGTTGTGTCTGTGGCTACGCCACACCTCAAGAGTCATGCTGCTCCTGCAGGCTGTGTGTAGTCAGACAGATGCAGAGAGAGGAAGCATGTTGCTAATGGCAGCTCACAGGAAATGTGAAGGAAAAGGTCTTGATGGGCTTAGTGGGTAAGTAAGGGAGAAGACCCATGAACCAGACAGCATGCCTTCAGTTTCCAAAGACCTAAGAGATTTGGGAGCAATGCCCAGTGGCACAGAGGAGGGCACAGGGTACCTACATTGCCTGCTGCTTCTCCGTGGGCCAGGAAGTCCCAGGACAAGAAGCTGGAGGTGCCATGCAGGCATCCCTGTCAACATCCCAGGGAATGTGCCTGCTATATCACCCCAGGCTCAAGCTTTCCAAACACCTCAGTGACCACAGCTCCTAAGCAAGAAATCACATCAATTGAGTCACCGGGGATATGAGAAAAAATCCAACATGGTTTATTTCAAAAGGGCAAAGATCAGGGAAGAAAACAGTCAAAAACTGTACGTCTTTCTCCAGACACATCTATCCGCTGAGAAACTAGACGCTTTGGGTCCAGAAAGAGCTGGCCTTTGGCCTCCATCAAAAGGACGTTTTGTCTACCTCTTTGCTACTCCTCCTCTGTCCATGGCTTGGGCTGATAGCCAAACTGGCCCCTGGGCCAGGATGGCTGAGACTGGCAACACCTGGGCTCCTCTAGTTGATGTGGTAGACCTTGGCAGCATCATAATAGGCATGGGTCATGTAGTTCTCCTTCACGGGCCACCAGTGGTCAGGATGGTAGGTGGCTGCGTAGGCATGGGACGGGCGTTGGACACAACTAAAGAGCGCCAGGCTCCTGTCAGTGGCCACAGTGGGTAGGTAGAGATACAGTTTATCCAGAAGGTGCCCCGGCCAGAATGAATTGGGGTGGGTTTGCTGCAGACCACCAGCCCCCTTCACCTTCCTAGAAAATAAGACAGACGAAAGGTTGTCATTAGCTGACAGGTCAGAGTCAAGGATTCTTCTCCCTGAGCGCACTGACTGTGACCAAAGTGGAGGTTTAGTATTGCACTATGGACTTTGGTACCTGGGTCCTCCCTGCACTTCCATAACCCAACCAGCCACATACACCTGAGCTGGTTGGGTTTGAATCCAGCCCTGGCTTGTGAAACAACAATGATGGCTGCAACCAAAAAATAGCCCGACATTGTGGCAAGTGCCTATAATTCCAGCTACTAGGGAGGCGGAGGCAGGAGAATCACTTGAGCCCAGGAGTTGGAGGTTGCTGTGAGCTGTGATGCCACAGCATTCTACCCAGGATGAATGCTTCCATGTAGTAGATTCTGTTATCCCAGTGGCCTAGAGAGGCTATGTGTGACACAGTGAGTAAGTGGCTGAGTGCAGGCTCGACTCCCAGTCTGCTACCTCTAAAACCCAAAGTCTTAACCATATACCATCTATTATCTGGAGGCATTTTAATGTGGTGCTCGGCATACAGCCTCTGGAGCTGGCCTAGCTGGGTTCAAATCCCTACTCCACCACTTTGACCTTTCTTATGCCTCAGTTTCCTCTTCTGTAATGAGTATGCTAAGAGTACCTTCCTAGAGCTGCTGAGAGGATTTAAATGAAAAAACACATGGAGAGCCCCAAAGCAATGCTTCTTGGCACTCTCTAAGAGTTGTATCGCTGCCTCTCAGGTCCGGGTACCAGGCCCCCCAGTGCTGTGCTAGGGGCATTACGTAACATGCAGAATTCCAGACATGTCTCAAAGAAAAAGCCAGCCCTCCCTTCCTTCCTTCCTTCCTTCCTTCCTTCCTTCCTTCCTTCCTGAGTTAGGTGATTGCCACAGACCTGGTGAATTCCTCAAATTCCTTAAAGGCCATTTTCTTGATTTTCTTTGGCATTTTCCTAGTGGAGAAAAGAAAGGCATTTTGTTAGGAGAGGGCAAATCCAGACTAATGGGGCTTTGGGGAGTGGGTCAGGGGGCATAAGGAGAGGGCCCATTTCTGAGTCTCAAACCAGAGGTCTGAAAAGAGAATTTCTTCTCCCTGGGGTGGGGTCCTGACTCTGTGCCTGCGTGCTCTGAAGGAACACATACTGAGGTTGGGTCAGCCAGACTTGGCCTCGTTACCTGGTTGGCTGGGTGACTTAGGCAAGTCACTCCCTATTCTGAGTCTTGCTTTGCCCCCCCCCCAGAACGGAGACCTCCCACCTGCCGGCCTGGGCCGCTGCCTGCTCTTGAGAATGCTCTGACCAGAGCAGGGCAGAACAGCAGTGAGTGAGTGCGTGAGCAAGTGCTAGCTATGGGTGCTGAGGAGTTTACGGGCATTTCCCATCAGACCCTCTGTGTATCCAGCCTGCTGGCCCCTCCTTCCTCTGCAGGGATGCTGCCCTGTCCTTCCATCTGCAGTTACCCACTGATGCTGCCCAAGGCTTGTCACCTGTTGCTCTACCCAAATCTGGGAGGTCCTAGGCTTTGGATCACCAAAGGAAGTCATTTTCTCCAAGGGGGTTCAGGGACAGGCTCCAGGGCAGTGTTCTTTTCCCTTTCCAGGAGCTGCAAACCCTTCTCTTGCCAAAGAAGGTCGGGCTCTGCAGGGCAGCTGGGCGGAGAAGGGGCTGCCCCTTTGCCCTCTGCAGGGCTCCTGACACCTGGCTGGTGACTTGTGAAGCCTTCCCCTTCTCTAACAAGGCTCTCCTCATGGTCTTTTCCAGAGCCCTTGTGACTGTAGGTCTGACTGTGGTCAGGAGGGCAGCTGTGTGGAACCTGAGGCCGGGAGGCTGCGGTCCTCAGGCATATGATGACATGACACTTGGACTGCCCAGTAGCTGGTGACCAGTGGGGACATAGACACTGGCATAACATGACATGCCAAATATTTCAGCATCTCAGGCCCTCCTCCCCCCTCGCTGAAGGGATGGCAAAGGGCAGAGAGAAAAGGGGTCTGAAACTCAGCTTGTCAGTCTTCTTGGCTTCAGACTCAAAGAGGCAGCGTTCCCTGAGCAGAGCCAGCTTCGGAGGTACGATCTTCCAGTCAGAGTAGTACCCTCCGGGCTGCCGGATCTGGCGCACCTGGTCATGCTGGAAAATGACCTTGTCTCCGGGGTAGAGCAGCGCTGTGGGCAGTGGGAAGAAACACATGTGGCCCCTTAGCTTACACAGCCCCTCCCCTCCCTGAGCCTTTGGGGTCAGAGGGGGCTTTTTTTTTTAATTGCATTTTTATTTAAAAAAGATATTTTTTGTGGCTTGGTGCAGTGGCTCACTTCTGTAATCCTAGCACTCTGGGAGGCCAAGGTGGGTGGATTGTTTGAGCTCAGGATTTTGAGACCAGCCTAAGCAAGAGTGAGACTCCTGTCTCTACTAAAAAAAATAAAAAAACTAGCAGGTGCCTGTAGTCCCAGCTACTTGGGAGGCTGAGGCAGGAGGATCACTTGAGCCCAAGAGTTTGTTTTGTTTTGTTTTGTTTTTTTGAGACAGAGCCTCAAGCTGTCACCCTGGGTAGAGTGCTGTGGCATCACAGCTCACAGCAACCTCCAACTCCTGGGCTCAAGCGATTCTCTTGTCTCTGCCTCCCAAGTAGCTGAGATTACAGGCACTGGCCACAACGCCCAGCTATTTTATTTTTTGATTGCAGCCATCATTGTTGTTTGGCGGCGGGCCTGGGCTGGATTCGAACCCTCCAGCTCAGGTGTATGTGGCTGGCGCCTTAGCTGCTTGAGCTACAAGTGCCATGCCAAGCCAGAGCCCAAGAGTTTGACGTTGCTGTGAGCTATGATGACGCCATGGCCATCTAGCTAGGGCAACAGAGTGAGTGAGATTCTGTCTCAAAAGAAAAAAAATTTTTTTCTCACATACAATTTTTAACTTGCTATTTTTGTTTTTTTAAATTATTTTACACATCCATCACAACTATACTCATTTCTTAATAGTTTTGAAAGGTAATATTGCATCATGCACATTAGTTGAGGTCCCTCCAAATACCCTCCCTCCTCCTATGTCCCCCTCCTTCCTCTCTCTCCCCTTTCCCTTCTACTTTCTGGACTATAGTTAGGTTTTGCCATTCATATGAGCGTGTAGATGGTTATATATTGATTTCATCGTAACTTGCTTTTTTTTGGATAGCTGTTGATTCACTAGAAACTGCAAAACTCATGCAGAGGGGACCTTTGAACAATCCCCCCTCCTTGGTCTCCCCAGGGGTGATATGGCATATAGCTGTAGCACCCTATCCAGAAAGTAGCCTTGGGCCTTGGGACGGTGTGGATCTGTCCTTAACCAGGTTAACAAGGGCCCTGAGGGCTGAGTACAGTGAGGGCTGAGCTGGTTAGGAGTTCAGGAGGAGGCAGGAAGATTCCTCCAAGACTTAACTGTTTGGTGGTAGTTTCCTCTTTGCCTTGAATTAGTCTCATAGATAACTTCAGGGGAATTTTCTTTTCTTTTTCTTTTTTTTCTTTTTCTTTTTTTGAGACAGAGTCTCACTTTGTCGCCCTCAGTAGACTGCTATGGCATCATAGCTCACAGCAACCTCAAACTTTTGGGCTCAAGCGATTCTCTTGCCTCAGCCTCCCAAGTAGCTGGGACTACAGGCGCCTTTCACAACACCTGGCTATTTTTAGAGATGAGTTCTTGCTCTGGCTCAGGCTGGTCTTGAACCTGTGAGCTCAGGCAATCTACCAGTCTCAGCCTCCCAGAGTGCTAGGATTATAGGTGTGAGCCAACACCCCTAGCCCTCAGGGGAGTTTTCTAAGAAGCATAGAACATAAAAAATAATGAGCCTGGGTGTCCACCTTCCTACAGCTACTGAGACGTGCTCATCCTAAGATGGTAACCCACAAAAAAGAAAGAAAAAAGTGATGGAAGTTAACACTCCAGGTTGTTAATGTTGGTTGAATGGGCACTGGGGAAGGTTCTGTGAAGGTAAGAAATTAGGAGAGGGAAGGGAGAGGCATGCAACATTTTCAAAAGACATACATGATTTTTAAAAGTTTGTGTGACTTTTTTTTTTTTTTTTTACAGTTTTTGGCCGGGGCTGGGTTTGAACCCGCCACCTCCAGCATATGGGGCCAGCACCCTACTCCTTTGAGCCACAGGTGCCTCCTGAGTATGTGTGATTTTTAAATGATTTACAGAAATAATTTTATACAAATGGAAAATAAAAAGAGATTTGTAACTGGATGGTCACTGAAATTTTAATAGTGGCCAGCTCAGGCTGGGGGAATTTTTATTTTTATGTTTTCAAAAAAATTTAAAGGTGGTGGCTCACGCCTGTAATCCTAGCACGCTGAGAGGCCAAGATAAGAAGATAGCTTGAGGCTAGGATTTTGAGACCAGCCTGAACAAAACTGAGACCCCATGTCTACTGAAAATAGAAAAATATTAGCCAGGTGTTGTGTTGGGCACCTGTAGTCCAATTCCTCGGGAAACTGAGGTAGGAGGATCACTTGAGCCTGGGAGCGTGAGGTTGCTCTGAGCTAGGCTGGGGCTATCATACATTAGCCCGGTGACAGAGTGAGACTCTGTCTAAAAAAAAAAAAAAAAAATTCAATTGAGCAAGTATTAT